TGGTGATGTAACCCCTTTCAAAAAGCGAGAAAGTGTCGGGTGCAGACCAAACACCACAACTGACGACGGCCTCCAAGTAAATCTGGTTAGAAGTTGTTCATAGTGATAGCTGATTTCTGGTAAATGATAGTTGTAATTAGTGACAATCGATAGAATACAACTGCAACAGGCTAATCATTTCATTGGCAGAAAACATTAACATTTTGTGAAGGCCGTCGTCACTTGTGGTGCATGGTCTGCACCCGACACTTTCTCGCTTTTTGAAGGAGAGGGTACCTTCCTTCTACCGTATATCTGCGATGCAGGATGTCGCGTTTTCGCGAGCGCGAAACTCCGAGAAAAGCGGACGTCTTGCCCTTGATGGGTTCCGGTGTTTATCAAGTGGTTATAGCTACGAACGAAATTCCTTGATTCAGTTTTATCTCAATCCACCTCTCTTAATTCGCTGGATTCCATTCCAACATGAAATATTAAATGGTGTTGGCCGCGCATGAAATCTCGCCACAAACGATTCTCAACAGAACTTATTTCCTCTCATGCTGACAAAAACCTGCACACGACGCGAGCGGTCGCGGCGCGCCACGGATCATGAGCCGCTTGTTTCAAGACTTTTAGCACTGAATCATTGTTGCAACACGAGCTATGAAAAAAAAACTTCACCTTTATCGCTTCTTTCAACATGTGCGACTTCATAATGACTTGGAACGTCACATCTTCTGTGTCGAATTCAAAGTCGAGAATCTTGAAACAGAAACCGTATTCTTAATTTACCTCGTTCTCAGTAATATATGAGCAAAGTAATAATTGTTTTTGTGCTATAAATGAATTACCTCTTCCGTTGTTAACGTCTGTACTCTCATATCAACAACTATGCCGTCTTCTTCAAGAATCAGCTTCACCGGTTCGCCACCACCATCATACGTCATCTTGAGAGTAGCTCCAGAGCCCGTGTGCATACTGATGCATTCCTGCAAACTTGATAGATTGTTGGGTGAAAAATGACAACATGCAAATTTTCGAGTGAACTGGAACAAACTTCCGCGAAGAATAGTTACGAACCTGACAACAGACACGCAGTAAGCCTCCTGTTCCTCTTAGGCGTTCCACCACAAACTCCCCACTTTTCTCTCTTTCGGCGGGCTTCGGCGTTCCTACCCTCCTCTGCACTGTTCTCAGTTGCCTTGAAGTCACTTTGCGAAGCCGTCCACAGGTACAATACCCGAAAATACGTGCAAGAACCTTGTGTCTTTGCCAAATCAATTCCTGCTTCCAACATGAAGGCCCTATCACGAAAGACGTCCTCGCCTTTAAAGGCACACCCGCGTTATGAAATGAGGGTGTATGAATCCTTCGGGAGCAGGCTAGAGCCGTCCATGGGGGTCACAGAGGAGCCACAGTTCTGGCTAGAAGATGCGCAGCAAACGAGCTCTAGAAACATCGAGAACCCGCAAAATTGGCCTCGACCCGTAACATCCGCCTCCGTGGCTGATGTAATGCACTCCGCACACTCGCTTGCATTTATGCCCTCTCGCCACGCAGCATATCATCTCTTTCTTATCACGGCGTACAGTTCTAGGAGCTTCAGCGATTAGCTCTTCCTTTGCTGCCTCGAAGACCGAAAAAACCAAGCTCTCATTTCAAGAAAAAAGCCCTACTTTCAGTTCGCTCTAGAGGTTTCTTCTCGTTTTTTTTGCTACCTCTCGTACATCCCTTGTACATCCACTCTCATACTCGAGCGGAATTTTCGCAGTTTGATCGTGAGACATGCCTAAAATTGTTTCCTCCTTCTAGGCCGATGTCAGACTTTGCGAATCGCGCGATTCGCTAGCGTCTGCGGTCGCGTCGCGGCCAGTGAATCACTCAATTGGCTGGTACCGCAACGCGACCGCGGACGCTAGCGAATCGCGCGAATCGCTAGTAGCGAATCGCAAAGTCTGACATCGGCCTTAATGAGCCCGGTTTTTGAACGACCCCAATTTTGCCCTAGTCTGTGCTCTGATGGAAACTGCATCGCATGACCAACTTTTCAACTCGTAAAAACGTCTCACGATTATATGTTGCTCAACCACTTTTGATACCTCTGTTCCGTTGAGAAGCCCACCCCGGGTCCACCATCTTCTTACACTATTCAAAGCTACTTCAATCGCTGTCCTTTATCCACCTGCACTAGTGCCCTTTGCGGCAAAGCACAGCAGAATGAGGGAGTGGTTACTCCACCACGCGGCGAGGAAAATTTAGTCAGTTGTCTTTTCTTTAGACTTTCGAACTTCTTCAAGTACATGAATAAATCGCGACTCCAGCAAAGAAAATAAAAGAAAGAAGCAAAAAGAGCATTTGGAATTCTCACTGACTGTTTCTCCCCAAACACTCAAATATGGACGCTAACCGATTCAATGGGATATTACTGATACCTTGCAAAGAAAATCCTGAGTGAGCGACGCAGCCTGAGAAGGCACGTCACCGGCGTGGTGTGTTTCCAGTGACACTCTTCACACTAACCTCCTACATACTTTTTGTGAGCGGGAGACCAACGATCAGACGGCTCCAGCTCGGAGACGACCAAAGGCTAGTAGCCTTGAGCGTCCGCGCGCCTCGTGCACCTTCAATGTTTGTAGTAGCAACTATGCCATACCGTTATGACATGGAGCGGGATCCTGAAGTGTACAGACCGTTCGCGAAGGATGAAGCTCGAAAATAGATCATTCGATAAATAAGCGATCGCCTGAAATGAAAAATGGCAGCACTAAAAACACAAAAGGTAGGAGTACTGGGGGTAAGAAAAAAGAATTTTTTCCACAATACTGCTTCCATATATGAGCGTTTCTATTACACCAGTACTACACATTGTTTGGACTTGTTCTGTTTGTTGACTGCTGTTTTCTGCGATAGCTACACTGGAATGCTGAATTATGGGCAAAACTCTTCAATTCGAGCCTCCATCTCTGGTATTTGCAAGTGTGCTTACAGCTTCATTACCGGAACACTACTACTTGTGAACTCGCAACACGAACTGCGGGGTTGATGGCAAAGTTCGGGCTCAGACTGCTACTAGTGAAGTTCCCTTAAAATGGTTTAGGAAGTGCTGTACGCAACGTGCAAAAGGTAGCGCTACCTTTCTACATCGAAACGCTTCACTAGACCCTAGGCGCATATGGACTTCTAACAGACTCCACCAAACTTAACATGGTCCGCCCACCGTTCGATATCTTGTCTGCGTCGCCACGTTGATCTGCTATGCTCTCTCTTCTCGGACTTCTCTACCACTCTCCGCGCTCACATTATCTCTCATCTCCCTGCCTGTCTTTTGAACTTCTCCACAGCATAGAGCAAAATGCTCGTATTTCCTGTGTATTTCAGATTTTCTTTCCTTTTTTCCCACTGGTGGCCCCAATTCCCTACTTTTACTTTCACATTTGAGTGAAATCACCCCATCAGTCTAATCCTGATTCTTGCCTTCAGAAGCCAAGGGTCGGGGGTGAGTGCAAAGAGAGTGCCCTCGAGTGCGAAAGTGGGAACCTCAAGCAGAGGAATCGCAACACTGTTCCGACTCAAAAGCCAGCGCTGCCATCTTATCAATCGCAGCATACGTGCGTCTGCGCCCTCTCGCGTGCGACGTGCTCTCTCGCGTTTTCCTCTCCTCGCAGCGCTGTGTCTCTCATCATACCACAACCGACCTCACAAGGGAAATTTCAGTGTTTATCTGGCACTTTTCGTTTTTTCTCCCCACTATCAATCCTCATCACACTTACAGTCTAATTTCGATCAGAGTAACACACCAATTTGACACCGGCCCGTGTCTTTAAGGCAGCAGTCCACAAAAAAATTAAAATTAATATTTGCTGGAGCTTTCAGAGTAAATACCACCAAAAGCTGAGTTGGAATGAAAGGATGTCACGGTAGTTCAGTAGCGGCACATTAGCTCGGTCAGCTAGAGATGCGGTTTCGATCCCGCCTGAGATGAAGAGTTTCTATCATAGCTCAGCATTCTTGTGAAACCACATATCCTTATACAGTAAATGCGGAATACACTGGCTGTAAACAAACGACAAATTTTTATTAAGTTCTCCTTGATCAGGAACATGAAAAAAGGTTATCAAGCCGCTGAATGCCATTGGGTGGTGGGTATACTCAGCGCCCAAGCAGCCGGTGTCGACTGTCCTGTGACTGCTTTGCAGCCCTAGTTGGCGGCAACATCGAATGATGTGACAGACGGTGTTGCAATCGTTACATACCTTTTACACGGGTAGCTGGCCGCGAACTCGCACAGCATCAAGACCAGTTTCTTCAACTCATGAAGTTCGGGTCGTACGGAAAAGAACGTACCTGTTGGCAGAGATGGTCGTCTACGAGAATCCGCATTCCTTGTGGCGTTGCTTGGAAGGTGGCGTTCTGAACTTGATCAATTAATTTGACCGGTATGACTTTATGTTTATGACGGCTTAACTACAGCTGCGTGCAGATCGCAGACCGCATCGCAGCGGTGTTCATGCGCAGCATAATTGAAATCTTATACCCTACATAGAAGAAGGGGGGGGGGCAAAGAATTCGTGCCTATGAGTCAAATAGCAACATTTCGTAACAACCACGAAGTGCAGGGCAGTTGATGGAAGTTTATACGCAAAAATATTTCTCAGATGTCTCCCTGCTCACACCCGCAGCAAGCCAAATTCATTCCCCCCCCTCAATGCCCCCATCGATTTACCAGAATAATGACGTCACTCTCATCGCCGCATGCTCAAGGAGGCTTCCGTTCGCTCCAGTCTGAAGCTGCTGCGTAGTCTCTTCAATCGGTCTGACGGGGGATAGTTTTTCAAAGACAGTAGCTGTGCCAGCAAGATCCCCTTCCCACTAGCCTTTTAGATATCGTCTCGATGGTCTACATACTCGCAGACGACATCGTTTAAACTGAGTGAATGCCAACACTTTCTCGCTGAAATCGTCTCTGAAATCCCAGTGGCAGAAGGCCATTGTGAAGTCTTTTGTTGATTAGAATGTGCTCTTCCAATTTAGTTGGGAGCATCTGGTTTGATTTTAGCAAAGTGTGATTTATTCCATTTTGAAGGTGAGGGGAGAGTGACTCTTTTTTGCCCCCTCCCCCTCTTGTACATATGATGTGTTAGAATTGATTTCACTTTAGTGAACTGCCGCCATATTGCACCTAAACGTGGCAAGAATAATGAAGGCGATATTCACGAAAGGATATAGCTTAATGATGCTGGCCAGATCTCGGACGTGTGGTTTCTTCAATTCCAGCACGTGAATTTGATCCGTACGAGCGTCACCACCAGCCATTTGCATTCTGAGCGCAAACTTTGCTCCTGAAAAGGGATGAAGGATAAAGCATAGCTTTTCTGGAATGAGCCACGTATATTACCCCCACTCAGAATTGCAGTGACACTTCAATTGGATTTGGCAACGAGGCTTGTTGGTCACCAATATCCTTCTATTTATAAAGCGCTAACTTTGTGTGTCGGTTTGTGTATCTGTATGTGTGTGTGTGTGTGTGTGTGTGTGTGTGTATGTATGTATGTATGTGTGTCCGTCCGCAAAATGAAGTGAGTGAGAAGGAAGCTCATGGGATAAACAAACCGCTAACAAATCGGGTAGCTTACAGGATTTGAGATATCAATGTTTTGTAGCAGGATAGTTGTGATAACACTCTTAGGGCTATATAAACACCTGCTTAGCACACTTCCGTTCATTCCACATGGTGCTGCAGTGGCAGCTGGAGGGCAGTGGAGAGAGGAAGGGAGGATGAGGAAGGGAAGCGAAAAATCTACCGTCATATCATGATTGTGTCCCTTCTACTGTATGAAACACCATTGTGTTGCATACGCGTCACTTCCAGGAGGTGTTGGTGTCACAGGAGGAAGGGACCATAGCGGAGGATAGAAAGCTTGCGCAGGAAAGGAAGGTCCCGGCGGTTGACGGGGGACTAATCTGGTATTTATAATAAATGTGTGTAGAGGTGAGAG